AAGAATGATAAAAATCTTCCACTTAGATTGAATATCATTGTGGAGCATTAAAACTATAACAAACAAGTTGTTATTCTGAAACATAACGCGTGGTGCGGTTAACAATGCGAAGTGTATATATACGTATTATTATATAATTAATATAGCGATGAGAAAAGAAACCACAAAAAAAAAATGTAGCACATATTTTTAAAGTGAAACCAAACCGTGTTGAGAAAAGTAAAACGTCGAGCGGATGCGCGCGCGCGGTGCTGATCACGGCACTAATAATGTTTAAAAAGAAAAGAAACATGAAAAACGGAAATGAACCGAATGAATTTCAATCCTGTTAATCATAGGCGAACTAATATCAAGCGAGCACCAGTCGATAAAACTAATCGTAGCGTGTACCTCCGAGAAACGCTGCTAAGAATCGATTCTTCGATCTACGAATGGATAGGGGTATAAGAATTACAATGTTTATGAACCAATGCATTTTCATGCCGAGAACAAATAAAATTTGCAAGTCGAATACGAATGTGTTTTCTCTCCTTTTATTCCTCATTTATGCGCTACCAGCCCCGACTGAACTTGGACCAGCTGATTAAGGCGAAAACTATTCACCAGGTAATTAAGAAACTGATGTTTAATTTATGAATATCGTGTTTATTTTTAATGTGGACTTAGAAATGCAGTACTCTCTTCATCGTTCTGTACGATTTTACGCTATAGAATTACATTGTTCGTAACGTATATACAACTGTTCCTTAACATGTATATATACGTTGAAAATTTAAAACGTCCACAAATATCTTAGTTCGTTACGGTGCTTCATTGCTCAAGCTTAGGAAGAACTATCACATGAACAAAAATATATCTTCCTTCATCAAAAGAATATTACAGGCATACGCATACCAAAGTTATGCAGGTCCATATTCATTTTTGTACACAGTATTATATCGATCGATCATCCCTTTTACGTTAGAAGATTGAAGACACAAAACGGAAGAACTATCGTCGATTATCGTCAGTCAGAGGTTATGTTCTCCAGTTGAGAACTTTGTGGCGCTTCTTTGTTTGTGGCACCTTGCTCCCGTGTAGATGCCGCTTTGCTCGAATTCACTTTATTATTTATGTCATCTGCGCTTTTGGACCATGAACAGCTCCTTCTGCCGGGAGACTTTGGCATGGACCAGGTGCTACTACGAGATCTTCTTTTAGGTGACGTGGAACGGGACTTCGCCCTTGTAATTTTCACTTTCGACGTTGACCTATCCCGTCTTCGTCTGTACCGATTCCTGCTGTTATTCCTCGACTTCGAACGACTCCGAGATCGAGATTTTTTTCGGGATCTCGATCGACGAGATCGTGATCGTACTCTAGGCGATTTCGATCTGGATTTTGACTTTCCTCGTCGTCGTTTCGATCGCGACCTACTTCGGCTTCTACTTTGCCTTCGACTCCGTGACCTAGAACCTGTCCTTGATTTCGATCTTGACCGTGATCTCGATCTGCTCCGAGACCTGGACCTTGATCTAGAACCCCGTTTTGACCTTGACCTTGATCTTGATCTCGTTTTAGATCTTGATTTGCTTAATGATCTATTACGACTACGAGATCGTGAACTTCTATAGTCGAACGAATGGTAATCCTGGCCTACTAAGTGGGCAAAGTACTTGTAGTATTGCTCATTATATAAGTGGGGGTTGAAGGTCTGCAATGAACGATGGTTTCCGGTATTCCGCCACAAAAATCCTCTGCCTCCTCTTCCGCGGGCAAAACGAGCGCCTCTGCGCATACTCCTTGATAGTGTAGGGTAAAGCAAAGGTAATGCGGCTTCGTAATACCACGGTTGGGGGAATCGTGGGTATAGTGTTGGATATGGAAGAGGTTCCAAAGGAGCAGACGCTGTAATAAAAGAAATCAAATGATATATTTGTTAACTTTGACTTTGAATTAGTTAACGATTAAATTTACCTGCAGATGAAGACGGATATGAAACGTTTTGTTTAAAAACACTTTTCAATTTCTTTGTTTGCCCTTCTACATCTGAGTCCTCGCTTCCACTTGCAGAATTTGCAGAGTCCTTTCCCTTTTTATTTTTTCTCTAAAAACGTATTATTGTTAAAATAAATTTGCTGCAATAATAGGTATTATAATGTTAATGTATGTGACTCACCTTTTTCTTTTTCTCCTTCTTCGATTTTCTCTTTTTTGACTTCTTATTTTTCTTGTCCTTTTTCCCATCTTTATCATTGTCTTCCGAACTTAACGCTTGAGTGGCACTATCTTGTTTATTATTTTTCTTGTCATCTTTTTTAGCATCCACTGACACTTCATCTATTTTAATTTCATTATTTTCTACTTTTATCTTGAAATATAAAATATAGTTGGATTTATTGTATGAATAAGAAAAATGTAACCAAACAAAAGTTTTCCAGGATGAATACCTTTATTCTATCAAATAATTCGTCCAACAAACGAATACTTTCAAGTTGTCTTTGTGCTTTTATTAACTTTTGTCCCTCCCTGGCTATTTTCATAGACACTTTGTCTTCCTCCTTTTTACGAAATATAGTTATAGCTTTACGTTTACGTTTCTCTTCCCTATTTTGTTGCCTGCCCTTTTTGGCTACTGAATCAGCTTCTTCCTTTTTCCTATAGATAAAATTATGTAAGCGAATCAAATTCACGCTATAGCATCTACGAAGTTTATTGCTGTTTACTTTAACTCTTCACGTCGTTTTTCTTCAGCTTCTTCTTTCTTGCGGAGTCTTTCTGCTGCTAATGTATCCTGTGCTATAAGGCGTTTCCTTTCAAATTCTCTGTGTGCGACAGAGCTATCACTCATGTGCTTTGTTTTATCAAAAGTGATCTGCATTGAATGGTGAAAATAAAAGTAATGTTCTTTATTATACTAACAACAAATATGTAATTATGTGTACATAGAGAAATGATGTCTTAAACACACCTTAATGGCAGCAGTAAATGCATTTTCTCCTTCCTTTTTAAGGAGTTTCATTCCGCGTAATGCATCCATTGCCCTAACAAAATCCATATATTCAACATACTGAATATACGCATCAAAAAATATTCCATCTTCATAACTAAATTTATTTATATTTGTGCCAAGACGCATTCTAGATCTGTATAGATCAGCAGCAGGTACATCAATTCTCCTTAGTGTTCCCCACTTTTTGAATATTTTGCTGATCAAGGATTCACTAGGCATAGTTGCACCATCTTCTATAAACCATTTAACTGGCAATCCTGTTATATGAACAGTATCAGGTCTTTCTCCAGCTTTTAATTCATTCATATGCTTAGTATCTCTGAAGTACGAGTCCCAACTATGTCTTGTGGGAAAATCATCCTTTGCCTCTGCTGCACGAACTTTTAAAACATTGGGAAAACCAGATAGATTCAGGCGTTGTGAGTCTAATCTGGCAAGCACACGCTGTAGCCTGCATCTGTCTTGTAGATCTCCTTCCAATCTGATAAATTCCAGTGTACTTTTGGCTACCTTCAGAGATGCAAACTCGTCCGGTAGTATAAGGGCACGTATCTTCTCCATTACTTCCCATGTTGATATAGTTTTTCCTGTTTATATCGCAGTTAATTTTCTGTAAAAACCTACTATGCTGAACATAATATATGTAATTATAAATTAGCACAGAATCGAAAGAAACTGCATGAATTTCCTGTCAGAAAAATCAATATCATTAAGCGACATAGTAAGTAAAAATGACCCTAGAACTAATGGATTAGGTTTATGATGATGAACTCCATTAATGTGTAATGGTGAAAAATGGTAAGTTGTTTTATACATATGAAGAAAAATCACTTTATGAGGGTTTAAACGACAAATATTAGACAAAATGTTCTCCATTAAATAAAGGAGAAATATCATTCAAAGTAAAGATAAATTTATTAAATTTTTTGCCACTTTACCTGGGACCTTCAGTTGAGGAAGATTGACAGACACATTTATTTTTGCAACTGGTTTTAAATAAAGCGCACGTGGTGTGTACAAGGGGACGATATCGCTGAGATCCCTACAGCTTCGAAATTGGTTAACAACCTCACTACTGGAATTTTCACCTATTTTCTTACCATCGCTCATTATTAATGAAATATACCTGTTTATGTAATAAAATACGCGATGGTTTCGAAACAAACTACATTTATTGTTAAATATCTATCTTACAACAAAGCAAACCACGCAAGATGAAAATTATTCAGTAGAGAGGTTGTATATCCATTCGAAACGATCCATGTAAAATCTTCCAGGAGCTGGTTCTTTTCTTCCACTTCACTTTAAATATCGTTTTCTTCACCGCGAATTGATTCACTCTCACCGATTTACATTCCGTTACTTCACCGTTAACTTTATTTACAACAGAATCATTTCGTTCTGTCACTGTAAATACTAACAGCAACTCGAAGACACAATACACCTCCTTCAATGGCACCTCGCGGCCGAGTCCAAGAATTTTAGCTGTGACTGTACGTATGACAAGAAATAAAAAAGACCACACAAATTGAAAGAAAATTTCCTTTACAATAATGTCAGATTATTTCGTAATTCCATTCAAATGAATATTTTCTATTGATAATTATCGATTAAGACGCTTTAAATGAAGATTTAATTTTTTATTACAACAGACAACTGAACTGAATAGTTGCGCCATCTGTGGCAGCATATGATACTGAAGTTTAAGCGTTTCGCCGTGGATGACGTGATAGATGTTTTTTAATCACATGTACCATTATACATAAATTGAAGTTATTAATTAGAAACGCCGCATTAATAACTCTTAATACATATTATAGATTCAGTAGAATTCAGCAAACAATCTTTATATTTTTATTTCATTTCAAATGAAGCGCATATGCAATGCATGCTACCTAGGAAATTCCGATTTGTCATTAAGTGACCAGCGCGTTACGATTGGCCGCCGCATCAGCCAAGTGCATCAAGCGCCATTTGTTTGGACGCTCAATTTTCGGTCAGTTGCATTCGGAAAGTGCGGCGATTAGGTGCTGAGTTAGAGGAATGAGGGACGCGTATTCTGTTCGTAGAAAGCACGCAGATGCTGCTATGTGAAAAAATAAATCGTGAGACGGAGAACCTGTGGACCACGATGCATAGAAAGTCTTGTGCGTTTAATTATTATCGTAGCCCGAATAATCACCTATTGTGCACATAAGACTCGTGTTATTTACGGTTGTGAAGCGGGGGGGATCGATTGTTAATTTATAAAGAAAACGAAGGCAAAAGGAGCACGATGTCTTTAAGTGCGAGCGCAGAAAACTTATCGTCCGAAGGGCAAGTAAGTGAACCATGATAATTACCACTTTTCCTCGCATGACTCATGCGAATCTTGTCATTGCATTACTATGAACGGCAATTATTTGCGAATTGTTCGCTTTACTTTATATTATTTATTCTTTCTTTTTACCTTTATCAAGCCTCCTGTAAATAGCTCAAAATATATTTCGATAGATATGAAATCCGTTGAGAAATAATACGTGAATATGTTTTTTCCCTCTGTCACTATATACGCGTTTACTACCCATTCATCAATTAATATTTTAATATTTACTACGAGCATGCTGTTTGCTGTGTCTCTTGTGTGTTCAACAGAAAGGAATTTGAAATATTGTTATGAGCTCCTGTCTGCAACCAATTTATTGAAGTTGCATACCTAGCCACTCCCATGACCATTCCAATACCCTTTCCACACACATTTTTTTTCATGTTTAAACATATTGCAATCATTTAGTAGATGTTCTGTGATTAGTTTTGTTATTATTCCATTTAAAGTTTCTAATATATTTTAAGTTAGCAGAAACTTTATTTGTATCAATAATAATTCAGTTTATAACAGGGCAATTTTTTTTATATTTAACAGAACAGTGAAAGGTGGAATATGTGCCTTGAACTGGCGCTAGAGGGTGAACGCCTATGTAAGGCTGGAGATTGCAAATCTGGTGTTGCTTTCTTTCAAGCAGCAATTCAAGCTGGCACAGATGACTTAAGGATATTAAGTGCAATTTACAGTCAGTTAGGAAATGCATACTTTTACCTGGGAGATTATGTGAAAGCAATGCAGTATCATAAATTGGATTTGACGCTTGCACGTAACATGGGAGACAAATTGGGGGAAGCTAAATCTAGTGGAAACTTAGGAAACACGTTGAAAGTTATGGGAAAGTTCGATGAGGCTATGATCTGTTGTAAAAGGCACTTAGAAATTTCAAGAGAAATTGGGGATAAACTAAGCGAAGGAAGAGCTTTGTACAACTTAGGAAATGTTTATCACGCAAAAGGAAAGCAAGCTGGTAGAATAGGCCATCAAGATCCTGGAGAATTTTCTGAAGATGTTAGACAGTGTCTACAACAAGCTGTTCGTTATTATGAAGAAAACCTAGAGCTAATGAAAGAACTAGAAGATTCTGCTGCTCAAGGTAGAGCATGTGGGAATCTGGGAAATACCTTCTACCTGTTAGGTGATTTTCAACAAGCAATCTATTATCATAATGAGAGACTAAAAATAGCTAGAGAGTTTGGAGATAAAGCTGCTGAAAGAAGAGCAAACAGTAACTTGGGCAATTCGCACATATTTCTTGGTGAATTTGAAAAAGCTGCACAGCATTATAAAAGGACTCTAGATCTTGCACAAGATTTAGGAGATAGAGAAGTGGAAGCACAAGCTTGTTATTCTCTAGGAAATACGTACACTCTCCTTAGGGATTACCCAACTGCAATAGAATACCATTTGTGGCATCTTGAAATAGCTCAACAACTTAAAGATCGAGTAGGTGAAGGACGTGCCTGTTGGTCTTTGGGCAATGCTTATGCAGCAATGGGAAATCATGAAAAGGCACTGCATTATGCCAATCTCCATTTGAACATTTCAAAAGAATTAGAAGATCCTATGGGTCAAGCTACAGCTCAAATGAATGTTGATGATTTACAAAAGATTTTAGGCCTGGAGAAAGGGCAACAAGAAAATAATAAAGAAAATATTGCACAGAAACTATCAGCTAATAATACAGGATCAAATGTTAATATATCTTCACCTTGTAGATATAGACTTAGAAGGCAAAGTATGGATAACTTAGATCTTATTAAGGTAATGTTTAATTGCTTAATGTGTAGCATTATATTGACAGTATTAAATATATAAAGTAATTGCAACTTACTTTTAGCTTACCCCTGATGCAAAATTGAAAGAACAAGCTGAATCTCAAATAGACAAAAGCAACAATGCAACTCCACAACTTACTCAAAAAGAAGAAGATAGTTTCTTTGATCTTTTGTCTCGTTTTCAATCTGGAAGAATGGATGATCAACGTTGTGCATTGAATACAAATAGAGGTCAAAAGTTTAGACCAATGACACCTGAAGTATCTGATTCAGATGACAAGTGTGTATTTCTACAGAGTATTATGTTGTTCTGTATAATCTGGTATTAAAATATACTGACCCTATTTTCAGAGATGGAGAGGACTTGTTTGAGCTAATTGCTGGTATGCAAAGCAAAAGAATGGACGAGCAACGGGTAACGTTGCCTTATTTACCTGGCCTAAATACTAACCAGGATGCAGATGATTCTTTCATTGAGATGCTTGTCAGGTGTCAGGTGTGTATTCAAATATTATAAATAATATCTTGATTCATTTATCATAAAAAAATTTTAATTGTGTGTTTAAACAGAGTTCGCGTTTAGAAGATCAACGGAGTCCTCTGCCTGCTCCATCAACGGTACAAGATGCAGAAGAAGATCATGGTCAAAGAAGTAATGGGACTCAAGCAGGTTCCACAGTTCCTGAGGAAGATCTTTTTGCTTTAATTCAAAGACTCCAGGCGGGACGAATGGAAGATCAGAGAGCTTCAGGACCTCGCAAAATGTGTTAAAAAATACTTGCATATAATGGCAGAAAGCGACTTAAAACTAAATGAAATCTTAATACTATCTATATCGAGTTTTATAGCTATGCAATAGTTATCTCATTTTATGATTTCCAAACGTTTAGTGCTTAATTGTACAGCGTCTCTCACTAAGTAAATACGCGAATGGCAGCTGCAGTTACTGATCTAGATTCAAGAAAATCTAAATTATCCTACCCATAAAAAGGAATATGTGCATTTATTGCTTATGGAATCATTGTATGAATATCACTAATATCTTAAAGAATCGTCCACTGGGTCTCAGTTCCCCACTTTTAACTTGGAATTGAAGTTTTTTTTTTACTACCTGAGTGTCCGTAATATAGTGCCAAAATCTGTACATATGAATCTAAGTTATGCGCGTAAAAAGTCAAAAGTTATGTAACATTGACTAGAAAATTATCTTTTTTTTTCTTTTAGTGTTCATGAAGTACAATCGTATTATTTCATAATGGGAAATAGGAAACTGGATAAATAATGACTTAAAAAGAAAGATATTCATTCTTGACCAGAGTAAACGAGCGACGTTCTGAACACTGCCAGGCTTAGATCACGAATCGTATAAAAGTCTTGTTAAAGTATAGAGTATTGTATATTGAAGATCTATCAATCCTGGCGTTATCTGTTGCATATGCGGTATTGGAACGATTCATTTGGTTACCGATTATTTTTGTAAAGGGTGGGAATGTTTGTGAACCTGGGTGCCAAACGTTTAATCGTTGGTTGCTAATTATTGAAAGCAAAGAATGGAATTGTTGGTCGTTGTATATTATATGTATTGTTCTCTCTCTATTGTACGTTGTCAAACGTATGCTCACAATCAAAATGAGTAACACGTACGGTTATAATAATTTATAGCGAACGTTACCATTTTTATCTTATGTCGTTCATGTACTTCGTCCATTTGAGGGGACGCTGACCGAGTACTTGAGAGGAGTGACGTTAATCTCAATAGTACCTAACTAATTAATCTGTATAGTAATTTTCCAAAGCGCTGAAACTTACTAATGAACTTAACTATATACAGGGGAGTTCGATTTATGTGAATTCTCTTATCTATAAACCTGATACGATGTAATGTATCACCTGATCTCCTTTGTGTT